GTAGTTAGAGAATGGAAGTGTGTACACCTCTTCTCATTCACTGTTGGTGCACCTCAGTTTAAGGTAGATTTGCTTGGTGTTGTCTGCTGTCTTATCATTGATAAGGTAGTATAGGAACTGGTGTTGGTTCTTGCCCAGTGGGTGGAGCTATAGACAGTATGGTTGTGGCTGGGCTGTACAGGCACAGTTGCTGTCTTCTGTCTGATTGTTGTTGTTGTTAAGTGCCATTGAGTCGGCTCCGACCCATAGCAACCCTGTATAGGGTGTCTAAGGAGAAGCTGGTGAGCTTGAACTGCCAACCTTGCAGTTCAAACAGCTTTGCAGTCTGACGCATTAACCCACAGCACCACACCAGTACTCCTTCTGTCTGATAGGAAAGAGAAAACTCCACCCCCACTTGCCCTACACACACACACACACACAGTCTCACACTCACACACAAGAAAGCAAAACAGAATAGATAAACAAGAAATCCATGAGGAAAAGAGAAAAAAGAAATCAAAACAGACAGCAACCAGGAAAAAAAAAGAACGACCAAAAAGGAAAAAGGAAATGGAGCTATGAGAAGATAAATGTAAGAGAAAAAATAAAAAGCATAATTAAAAAAAAAAAGAAAAACCAGGGAAAGGGAAGATGAAAAAAGATAGAGATTAGTAAAGAAAGATCAAAAGGGGGTCAGGGAAAAAAAGAAGGGAAAAAAAAGGTAGAAAAGATTAAATTCAAGGGATTGTAAAGGGAAGCAGAAGAAGAAAGAATAAACAAACAAACAAAAAAAAAAAAAACAAGTTTTTTTCCCCTTTAGCGGGCATCGCTGAAGCTGGGGCAGTTAAAATGAAATTCAATCCCTTTGTGACTTCTGACCGGAGCAAGAACCATAAAAGACACTTCAATGTACTGTCCCACATTTGCAGGAAGATTATGTCTTCTCCTCTTTCCAGAGAACTGAGGCAGAAATACAGTGTTCGGTCCATGCCCATCCGAAAGGATGATGAAGTTCAGGTTGTACGAGGACGCTACACAAGGGTCAGCAGATTGGCAAAGTAATCTAGGTGTACAGGAAGGAATATGTCGTCTACAATGAATGGGTGCAGCAAGACAAAGCTAACGGCATAACTGTCCATGTGGGCAGTCTGCTTCAGCAAGGTGGTTATCACTAGGCTAAAACTGGACAAAGACTGCAAAAAGATCCTGGAATGTAAAGCCAAATCTCCCCAAGTTGGAAAGGAAAAGGATAAATATAAGGAAGAAAAGGTTGAGAAGATGCAAAAGTAAAATAATCTTGTGTGCAAGTTCCATTAAAAACTGCAAAAATAGTTGGTGCCTGAGAGGAGAAAACTCTGGAGGGTTCCAGTCGAAATGCTCACTAGATAAGTCCTAGATGGAGTTCCTATCACCAGTGGTGTTATCTATGTCCAGGGCATTCATTCTGGAAGTAGTTTGTGGAGGCCCTAAATGCAGCTGGTTTCAGTGCCTGTGAGGATCCCCGGGCAGCTGGGGCAGGGTGACTGGCTAAATACAGGTCTGGTTCCTCTGAAGGTTCTATAGGTGTGTAGCCAAGTCCACCTGAATTCAGTCACCAAAGTGGCTCAGCCAGCCCCTGTTTCACACTGATGTGATTCCTCACCTTGTAGCACTCAACTCCTAGAGAATAGGGTCTGAGCTGGAAGTGGATGAGGATCGGAGCTAGTCACCCCTCTGGTCACCAGAGGAGCATGGGAAATAAAGAAGGAATCACACCTTTCCTGTGTGAATCTGCTCTGCCAGGCCACCTTATCTCCAAAGCTGCTCACGAGATGATCGAACCCATGTCTGGCCAGCCATTCACCAGTCAGTCTTCCTCTCTCATTGTTCCTGCTAAGCTTCTCCTCCCAGAAAGCATTCAATCTACTTCTCTTACTTTTCTTCTGAAGTTTAGGGTTCCTAAAGTTTCATCTGTGTCTTTTTCATTTGGTCTCGTATCTTTGTTGTAGAGGGTCCATGTAGTGCATCTTGCCTAGCCCACTGTCTTGCTGGAAGTCCCTCATCTTATTCTTTTACATTATACATTAGTCTGTCGCTCAGCGTACTGCATTTTTTACCATTCCTGCCTCCCCTCATGGTTTTTTATAACCCATCTGCTAGGTACGGAAGCTGGGACTGGACAAAGGAATGCCATCTCTTGAATCCCAGACTGACTGGGTTTATGTTCTGACTCTACCACTTACTAGGGGTTTTAATGTGAACAGGTACTTAACCACTCCAAACTTTGGCTTCCTCCATGACACATAAGTGTTCTGTGATGTTATTTAGAATATGACTTCATTCTTGCTCTCCAGGAGTCTGTGATCTGGGAAGAGAAAGAGATGGTGGTCCCGTGTGGGATGAGCAATGGTTTATGGAGTCAGCAGATACTTGGGTGCCAGGCAGTGTTCTGAAGACAGACCAGTGACTCCAGCAGATAAAGGACCTGCCTTCCTGAGGCTGACAGTATACTTACTGGCTTTGTGAGAGAACTGTGCACACAGGTGTCCTGGAAGGAGAAGTGTGGATTTGGTGTCCAAGGAGGCCTGCAGGAAGTGGGAGGCTTGTGTCCAAGTGTGGATTTGGTGTCCAAGGAAGCCAGGAATATAGCATACAAGTGAGGGGTGGATTCAAATCGTTTGTGCAAAAATTCTGTTTGTTTGTTTTTTTATTCCATTTTTCCATAGACTTTTTTAAACTCCCTCATGCTATAGAATTGAGTTTTCACAAAATACAAAAACAAGCAAAACTAACCTTCCAGTGGATTTTGACTCAGGGCAACCCCATTATGTCAGAGTAGAACTGTGCTCCATAGGGTTTGACGTTGTTGTTGTTGAATGCCAATTAGTCAGTTCTGACTCAGAGTTTCCAAGGAGCGGCTGGTGGTTTTGAATCGCCAACCTTGCGTTCAGTAGTCCAGTGCTTATCCTACAGCACCACACTTCATTCAGAGTAAGTGTGGTGCTGTAGGATAATGGCATCTGTTCTTAAATGCTGTTGGCTTACTTCCAACACATATCAACCCTGTGTAGGGTTTCCAAGGAGCAGCTGGTAGATTTGAACCACTGTTCTTTTGGTTAACAGCCCAGTAAGCCAGTGAGCTCTGTTTACTTAAGATTAGTATGCTCTGTGTGTGTACAGACAACACCTGGTTTTATTGTGCTTCACGGATACTGCGTCATTTACAGATTAAAAGTTTGTGGCAACCTTGTGTTCTAGTCTGTCTGAGCCAATTTTCAACAGCATGGGCTCAATTCTTGTCTCTGTTTCACGTTCTGGTAATTCTCACATTATTTCCAACTTTTCCATAGCGCTATTATTACACATATTATAGGCAGCAGTTTAGTGTAGACATAACTTTTTTATGCACTGGGAAACCAAAAAACTCATGCCATTTGCTTTATTGTAATTTTTTTATTTTTTGTGGTGTCCTGGAACCGAACCTAATTTTACATATGTTATACGTTGGTGTGGCGATGTTCAAAGGTTAATGTTCTGAACTGCAAAGTCGTAACACAAGGTTGGTGGTTCAAGCTCACCAGCTGCTCCTCAGACACCCTATAAACGGTCACTATGGGTAGGAACTGATTCAAATGCACTTAACAACAACATATCTCAATGAGGAGTACTGGTGTGGCCCTGTAAGATAGCACTGGGACTGCAAGGTCAGTTTGAACTCCAAGGTCAGTGGTTCAAATTCACCAGCTGCTCCTCAGAAACCCTGTATAGGGTCGCTCTAAGCCAGAAACGGCTTACCTTGATGCAGTCTTTACATAGTGATGATGAGTGAGGATAGCTAGTTAAAAACAGAGGGAAGGGTGTGTTTGAGAATGAGAACAAGAAGCAGAAAAGGACGAACAATAGCATGCTGTGTTCCAGTGCTTTCGTCTGCCCTGGATGAAAGGTGCACCTGGGAGAGACGCTAGAGTGACAGTGAGAAGCACCGTTATGTGTAGGCTGTCACGGGAGTTAAAATACGACTCCGGGTTGGACATGTAGACGTGTCTTCTGAAGTTGGAGTGGTAGAGTGGAAATTGGGAGCTATCTTGGGAATTCAGTCTACTCTTCCTATCTTAAAATTACTTTTTTTTTTTTTTTTTGATTGCATGAGATAATGCAAAGTGTTTGTGTCTCACATGGGATATGTTGTCTAATGATAGCTTCTTACAGATTTTAGTGTGTGTGTGTATAATTTAACTTTCCAAATAAAAAACTGGGGGTGACTATATTATGAATTAGTGCACTTGCTTATCTGAAACTTTTGATCTTTTAATTAGTTATTTAATTGTTACCTAATATTATAGAAAATGTTATTATTCTTTAAAAGTTGATTGTTGTACTAATTAAATCCTTTTTTAAGCATTTGAGAATTGTCCAATAAAGATCAGGCAGCAAATACCTATTTCAGTCTCATTTTGGCAACAGGGTTTTATTAATTTTATATTTAGCCATATGAAGGGGCTTCAAGAAGTTGTGGAAAATGGAATTAAATATGATTTTTTTTTTTCACAAATACTTTGAAGCCCCTCACATTAAATCTTAGTTTCTTTTCTTCTCCAAAACATTTAGAGTTTGTGTGGGCCAGGGAATGGAAGAAGTGGAAAGAAACTGATCTACTAGAATTTTTTATTTGTTTCAAATTTATCATCTTAAAATGCTAAACAGATTAAATGAATTTACTAAATATCATTTTGAGATTATAACACACTGGTGTAAAAAGTTCTTTATTAATTGTGAAACTGTCATATGAGAAATTCTGTTTAATCAGCAATTAGCCAAATTTATTCAGGATCTTTGGAAAATGCTGACTACTTTTCTGTCTATTTTAGGTTTTCCAGAGTATAATTTTTAAGTAACTTTTCCTTGTTCTGAAGGCCAGGTTCTCTCTGGAGAATTTTTCCTGTTTTCTGGAAATGGCTTTCCATTGGCTCTTTAGAATGTGCATTATTCTTTTTCTGTGGACCATGAATTTCTCAACTGGCCCTGCCTTCTGTGTTTAGGAGTGAGCGAGCCCGCTGGATTACCGCCCTGGGACAAAGCAGCCTGAAGCAGCCTCCTGACCGAACCTGTAAGTTTCCCCAAGGAGCAGTCAGCTCTGGACGGTGGACAGAGTCTGCCCCCTAGTGGACACTAGTTTATTAATGGCTTCAATACCAAAACCATTGTCAATTCTGACTCACAGGGTCTTAGTGGAATAAGGCAGAACTTGCCTCATAGGGTTTCCAAGGCAATAATGTTTATGGAAGCAGACTGCCACATCTTTCTCTTGTGGAGCGGCAGGTGGATTTGCATGCCATACACATAATCACTGTGCCGCTAGGGCTTCTACTAATGGGTCATGCTACCACAATGCCTGCTTTATAAGTTTCCCCAAGGCTTCCCTCCTGCCCCACACCAGAGCTATAAAACCCCTGCTTGGGAAGTCAGGAAATCTGAATTCCAATGTAGGGTGCCGTTCTTTGTTGTGTAAAAATGGCACATCCTCTCATGAGCCTGTTCCTTAATTTTGAGACATTTTTCATGGATGCTAGTTGCAAGTTAAGCCTTCTCCATACTGTGATAGTCTGAAACTTATCTAAAAAGTGTGTTTTGCTTAACAGAAAATTACTTACTTTGTAATTGTTTTATTAAGTGATAATAAAAAATATATCACCTAATTTTGTACCGCTTGTATTAAGTGATAATATTGAGAATATATTTTCATTCTTCTCAAGAACCCCAGGAATCACTGCAGTAAAGTGTAGCGTCATGTGATTCGTCTTTTTGCTTTGACGTGATGCTTCTCTGGATGGTCCTAGCTTGTTGTTGTTGTTGATAGGTGCCGTCCAGTTGGTACCACCTCATAGCAACATTATGCACAACAGAAAGAAACTCTGCCCAGTCATGCTGGAAGGGCAAATTCAGACAGTTAGATCGGGCAGCAAAAGTGGTCCTTAGGGAGCACTCCGAATCCAGTCTTTAGTATTGATACTCTGTTTGGGTTACTGGAAAACTTTTGGAAATGGATCATGGTTTTAAAACATGGTAAATATAATTGTCCTGAGTTTGTACACTTAAAATGGCAGGGGTTTTTGATATGTATATTTTACCACAGTAACATTTTTTAGAATTCTATCTTTGAGTTTTAAGATAAAGCGATTGGTTTGAAAATTCCCTCCATTGAGTTTTATGTTGTAGTTAAGTGCCATAGAGTCGGTTCCGACCCATAGCGACCCTGTATAGGGTTTCCAAAGAGCAGCTGGTGAGCTTGAACCGCTGACCTTGCAGTTCAAACGGCTTTGCAGTCTGACGCGTTAAACCCACAGCGCCATACCAGGACTCCACTGAGTTTTAAAGTAAAGAATAAATGATCTAGGTAAGAGGTCACATGAACTCTTGTTACTGAAGTTGGTTGTTTTACATCACAGAATCATCATTTTTTGAGAACTCAACAATGCTTTCTAAACTTTCGGTTGGAGTGCCTTTTATTTCTAAACACTTTTGGCCATTTTCATATGTTGATTCTGGCAGGATGAGGAGTGCACTAGAAGAGAGCCAGGAGAACTGGGTGTGTTGCAAATTTCATAATCCATTGCATGACTTTGGTACATTACTTAATCTGTCTTGCCTCGGTTTCCCTAATGCTATTTTTTGCTCCATTGGGTGACGTGACTAATGACCCCTTATCAAGGCTATTATTGAAGGAATTCACATCTCAGAAGATGGTCCTCTTGATTTCTAATATCTGCTTTATCAAAGTTTCCTCCAAGGCTTCCCTCCTTTGGTCCCCCACCATAGAGTTATGAAGTAAGGGGGACTGTAAAAGAATTGATGCATTTGAATTATTGTAACGAAGGAGAATATTAGAAGTTCAATGGACTGCTAGAAGGACAAACCACTCAGTGTTGGAAGAAGTGCAGCCAGCATGCTCTTTAAAAGCCAGAATGGCCAGACTTCATCTCTTATACCTTTAGACATATTATCAGGAGGAACCAGTCTCTGGAGAAGGACATCATGCTTGGTAAAATGGAGGGTCAGCGAGAAAGAGGAAGAGGCTCCAACAAAATGGAGTAGCAGTGGCCACAGCAGTGTGTTCAAGCGTAGCAATGATTGTGAAATTGGCACAGGACTGGGCAGTGTTTTGTTCTATCATGCATAAAGTCGCTGTGAGTCAGTACCAACTTGATGGCACCTAACAACAACAACAAAAATTTAAAAGCTTGCAACTGAGTAGACTTCCCAGAAAAGACTTTCTGTTTTATGACATAAGCCCGTCTTGTTTTATCCACGCAAGTTGTGAATTATACAGAAAGAGCAAGTGAATGTACATTATTCATATATGTACCTTAGTTCTGTTTTTTTCTCTACTACTAGAAGCTCAATGTGTCTCTTTCCCTCCACAGCACTGACACAGGTGGAAATCATTAGATCGTTTACTGCCAAGCAGCCCGATGAACTCTCCCTTCAGGTGGCAGATGTGGTCCTCATTTATCAGCAAGTCAGTGATGGTGAGTGGAGTGTTTTATCAAACATGGTAGTCTCAGATATAAGACCTGAGAAATCACGTTTTCTTATTTGTTCCTATATTCTGTGGCGATGATCCCAAGTCAGTAACATGTAAGACAGACCATATGCACTGCCTTCTTAACTCTGCTTGTCTCTGTTCTTGTTCCTTTTCTCCTTTCCTGGGACTTTATTTTCTAAGTCAGTCTTTTCTCAGAGCCTTAAAGATGGCTTACAGAGGTGTTTAAGGCACTTTGCTGCTGTTAAGTGCATCAAGTCATTTATGACTCACAGCAATCCTGTATAAGGTATCTGAGAAGCAGCTAGTGGGCTTGAACCGCCGACCTTGTGGTTCAAACCGACCTTGCAGTCCAGCGCATTAACCCACAGTGCCATGGCAGAACTCCTTAAGGAACTTATGGACACCTGACATCTTTTACCCTCAATCATGGGTGGAACAAATGGTTAACATGCTCTGCTGCCAGCTAAAAGGTTGGAAGTTTGAGTCCACCCAGAGGCCCCTCAGAAGAAAGACCTGACAATCTAGTTCCCCAAAGCAACCACTGAAGGCGCTATGGAGCACAGCTCTACTCTGACACACTCAGGGTCTCCATGAGTTGGAGCTTATATTACTCTTTGTCCTCTTTTCCTCCCGTTTTTATTTCTGCATCTGTCTCTCATCTGTTGTATGTTATTGATACCAATTTAATGCTTTTGACTAAAGATGCAATTTTGTGGTTTGTTATTCAAAAGGAACCATGAAACATTTTCTTCTTCTTCAGTCCCCCAGGGACATAGTTCTCATCTTCCAGAGATTCTTCCTTACTTTCAAAACTCTAAACAAATTGACCTGCTGCCCCTAAACAGTGTCCCATCCCAGATGGCTCAGCCCAAGTTCACATGATCTGTCCTCAGCATGGCATTCACCCTCCCCCCAAAACCTTCCTTCAATCCAACACTCCCTTCTCATCTTCTGTCATCTGTGGTCACCCACCACAGGTGGGGTGGTGTCTCTGATCTTCTCTGTGCGCTCCTCGGAGCCTCGCAGTGAGGACTCCGCTCAATACTCTACTTGTCACTTGATGCAGACTTTGTCCTTCTTTGCAGGTTGGTATGAAGGAGAACGGCTTCGAGACGGAGAAAGGGGCTGGTTTCCTATGGAATGTGCCAAGGAGATAACATGTCAGGCTACAATTGATAAGAATGTAGAGAGAATGGGACGTCTGCTAGGCCTGGAGACCAACGTGTAGCCTCTCAGACAACCTTTTGTTACTGCGAGATTTGCACTACAGAATGGGGGTGCTGGTTGGCTGTGGTTGGTTTGTGTTCATTGTAATGTGGACCATTGAAGTCAGAGAATGAAAACACTTGCCTTTACACTTGCCAGGTTGCTGTGCTCTGGTGAGCAGCTACTGGGTAGAGCTAGTTCACGAAGTTCAGTGAGTGCACGCTGTCCGTTTGCCTCATCAGGTACCCAGTGCAGCTGAGCTGTCCGTTTCAATGGGCAGACAGCATCTGATCCTTCTTATCCTACCACATTCTGACATAAAATTGTATATGAGCTGCTGTATCGTGGTTTTTTCAGCCTTCATTTAACTAAGAATCTTAACTGTCCCTCTTGGAACATCTCCGTTACATGGTTCTCCCAATTTTGGAGAGATACTCTATCCTTAAAGGATGTAAATGTTTTTGCAGCTTTTTATTTTTTAGACCTGATTGTACTGCTGCGTTTCAAGAGGAACTGGTTAAGTTCCAAAGGTGAGCTGTTAATGTTTTGAGTTTTAGGTTTTGTTTTTTTTTTTCCCTTAAACCTCTTCCTAGAAAAGGGAAGTTAATTGACACTTGAATTTTTGCCACCTTTTTCCTCCTTACAAGGAAAGTAAGGAGACTTACTGAAACATTGTTTTTTTAGAGTCCCTCTCTTCCCATATTCTTCTTACATACACATAGCCTCCTAAAACTTAGCTACTCTAACATAGAATTTACATGGGTTCAAGTATGTGGAAAAATGGAGACAGGAACCATACTTTTTAAAATATTTCCAGCTACGTAGATAAACAGACAGAAGACTGCTTTGCCTTCAATAATGCAAGGTTTTTGGTCATTCCTACTTCCCCTTTCCATATCAGAAATTGACTGGAAAACAGCTTAAGGTAAGGGAAACTTTAGGCCTTCAAGGGCATTAAGAAGCCAGTAGCTAAATGCAGCATAACACTTTGACTTTAAAGGGAGCCCACTCTGCCTGCATGAACAGTCTTGCAGAATTTGGAGTCTCCCTTACCTGGAGGTTTCTGCAGAACTTTTTTTCTTCCACTGGGTGAGGCAAATGGTTAAACACTCTAGGTCCAGCCTAGAGGTTGGTGGTTCGAGCCTGCCCAGAGGCTCCTCCAAGAAACGTTGGTGATCTGCTTCTGAAAGCCTTTGAAAACCCTGTGGAGCAGTTCTACTCTATACACATGGGGCCTCCATGAGATGGAGTCAACTCAACGGCAACTAACAATGGCAACAACAGTGTGCAGAGTGGACTTGTTTTCATAGCAGGTTTCAGAGATTAGGAGACAGAAGTGATTTTTACTTAGAGTTCTTTTCCCTCATTAACTATTCTTTCCATAAAGGGATAAAACCTGGAAAAGCATGTGTTATTTAAGGACTGAAAGCTAATGTGTCCCAGCTCCTGCCTGGCAACCTGTTACTGAAATTGTGAGGAAAGTTTTAGGAGGGCAGTGTGCCTGACTCACTTCTCTGTCCTGCCCCTCAGCGGCTAGTGCGCACATGGGGTGTTTCCCACTGGGCTGCTCTTTTTCTCCCTGCATGCATTTCTGGTTGTAAAAGCCATGCCAGGTTGCTAGTTCTTTGAGATCTGGGTGAGTCTGTCAATGATGTAATACCAGGGGAGTACAGCAGTGATGTCTTGGGGTGTATAGAAAAAGAACCCTGTCTTCGTTATAATGTTGTCACTGATTTCTTTAAAGTTGATGCTAACATGTTGTAATCTAATCTAAGGTGATGTTTTCATTTAGGAAGGAAACTAGATGAGAGATCAGTTTGTATTATTTTTGCTAATACCCGTTTTTAAAAAGCAGCTAAATGAATCCTGTGAATTAATTTATAAGTAGTGACATGAAACACTTTTGGAAACGTGCATCTTCTAATTCAGAACATGATTTGCGAAGCTGGTTAATACTGTTATTAGATATAGTTGTTACATGGCAGGTGTTTAACGTATTCACAATGTTTAATTTCAGCCATGGATTGTCATTTTCTCTGGCACAGGATTTTTATTTCCAAACTTAGTTCTATGAAGATCTTCTCTGAATTGTACAGTGACTTCATTCAGTGACCTGTGGAGGACAAAAATGTTCATTATTGTCCCAATAAATTGAGACTGCTTTGTACACTTTTGGCAAAATATGTGGATTTATAAAGAGTTTGTGTATACTTGTACCTTTGTGTCCATGTGATTTAATTTACTCTTGGCTGCTTTCAGTATGTTGTTGTTACATGCCGTGGAGTCACTTCGAACTCATAGTGACCCTGTATTGGGTTTCCAAGGCTGTAAATCTTTACGGGAGCAAAAGGTCTCACTCATCTTTCTCCCGCAGAACAGCTGGTAGGTACAGCATGCCAAATTTTTGGTTAAATCAGAGTTTCTACTTAGATGGTATCTATAGCTAATATTGAAAGTAACTAATCTGTTCTCTGTGTGCCCATGTTGACATCAACTGCCCTGTTAAAACAAGCATTTTTTAGAGAACTAGAGCCATGCTGTTTCTTCTGAGTTGCCATGAAATTATGCATGACTATAGCTTTTCTTAACCTTTTTGTGACTGAATTATTTTTCACTTAAAAGGTTTGGTGGATAAAATGTTTTTCCACTATTGGAATGCATGCTGAGTCATTGAGTGTTTAATTTTTTTGTTAGGTGTGATGGGTTTTGATAAATATTATATAGGACACATAGGTTCCAAACACTGGATGCTGGCATCAGGGTAGGTGGGAACAGGCGTAGAAAAAAAAAATCATTGTTTCCTAGCAATTTTATTTTCTTGTGTGAAAACCTGGGGTAAAAGCACTCCACAATACCTGTGTATAATTGTTGTTTGAATCCCCTTCTAATTATGGTAGCCTAAATCCCTTGACAGGTAAATGCTTTCCAACCTGTAAGAGCCATGCATCAGTTAGCATGCTGCTTACTCCCCTGCCCCCCCCCCACTTGCTCTTCATGAACACGGTGGATCTTCCTCTCCCTTTGATTTCCTGACCTAATGAGAGTGAGTCTGAAGGAAAGTTGGTCACATCTGCCCCTATTGTTACAGTTCCACATTGTCAACTGTTTACAGCGCCAGAGTCAGTAAGGAAATAAGGTAGTCTGTACCACCATTTGTGAGAGTGCTCTCTGACTGAGTACCTTTTATCCCTTGGTCAAAGCAGGTCACTCCTCCCAATATGGTGATGCATTCTACAACTTCCCTTGGCCAAGATATTACTGAGGAGAAACTCTGTTTTTTTGTTTTTTCTTTCAACACAAGAGATGCCATTTGGATTGCAGAGTGTTGACAAAACTTCAGAGGTTTATTGTCCTGCCACCTGACTGTCAACATGCATCCTTTTGTATGAAACAGAAATTCTCCTTGCTATAATTTATCTCTCCTTTTCATCATTTCTAGAGTCCTGATGTAGCGTGCTGTAGGATAAGCAACTGACCTCAAGGTCAGTTTGAACTGCAAGGTGGGCAGTTCAAATGCACCAGCTGCTCCTTGGAAACCCTATACAGGGTTGCTGTGGGTCGGAACTGACTCGGCGGCATTTACCAACAACAACTTTGTCATTTTTTTGGTAATGCTTATTTTATTAGATCACATTGTGCTTACAACATACAGTTCCCTTTCATTCATACTTCTCATCAGGTAACAGAAGGAAAAAATCATCGAAGGCAATGAGCCTGAGAAGAGTTGCATGAATGACACAGTCTAAGAACAACACTCCCGCTGAATGAGAAAAGTGAGTTGCTATCCGTATCTTTTTGTCTGGACTAGATACCAAACTAACTTACAAAGCCAGTTGGTGAGTCAGCCAAGCACCGTGCTTTGTACCCATGTTTGATGAGCATCATGGGCATATATTTTATTGACAAATGGCCCTTGAACGGCACCATGCTTTCAACTGCTTTGATACTCGATGGTATGTACAGCCCTTTTAGGTGGTTAATAAGAGCTTCGAGAACTGAGAACAATCTGACACATGCTCTCCTTTGTACACGACTGCTGAATTGTATGAGGGGCTTGCAAAGAGTGTGAATAAACTCTATTATCTTTTAATCCCTTTGGCCCCCTCACATGTTCTCAGTTTCTTGAATCTTGTTTTAATAAAAAGTTGTACAAGAGCGGTAACTCCAGGACAGGGTCACTAGACCAATTATATCTTGAGCTCTGGCAAGATAGGTATACCCATCTTTATGTGCACAGCAATGAATGTTTTATTTCCTCTGTGATGGTGGACTTCCACTTTTCACTTGTCATTGTAATCTTCTGCCCTCTATATTGTGGTGTTATTTCCTGGGTCACTCAAAAGGTTCATTTGGACTTTTATGTTACCAAAATATCTCCCATAATACAGACAAAAAGAAATATACTTTTATATCTTCATGGGTCAAGCCAAGTATATTTTGTCATACTGCTGAAACAAGTTTATTATGTTTTCAAAATAGAAGATAATATTTTTACACCATTCACCTTCATTTTCCTCAGTGAGCATCACCATCTGGTTAGTCTTTTCTTCTGTGATATCAACTGCTTCATTCTGATACAAAGTCAATGTTATTTTTGTTACTGTCAAAATGGGCTTTAGACTCTGGAAGATGGTTAACCATGTCCAAGGTATCTTCAGGATACTATTCAGGTTCATCATTTTGGGTTGTTTTAAGTGCGGTTCTGACTCATAACGACCCTGTCTAGAGTTTCCAAGGAGTGGCTTGTGAGTTTGAACCACTGACCTTGCAGTTGAAGCCAACCTTGAGGTTGAGTGCTTATCCTACAGCACCACATCAGAACTCCCATTCTTGGGTAGAGAAGAGCAAATTTAGAATGTCTTCATTTTTCAGAGCATCCATTCCTAAAGAAGAAGTAATATTTCAGAAAAACAATTCTGTGTTCTGTAAAACCAGGATACCTCCTAACACCATGTCTCCACATCAGTGTGAGAATACAAAAGGGAAAAAGAGATTGAGCACTTGCTCTATCATGTTATGAAA